AGCGTATAAATGTGAATGTTCCTCCCAAAAAATTGAGGTGCTTTTTTTATACATTTGTGCAGTAATAACTCACACATCTTCAGCTGAGACACAAGTGTTCAGACATTAGCCAAACCATTACTTCCATCTTCCATGACCTTCTAACGCAAATGCGCTCTACACTTTAGAAACTGCATCAATTTCCCACGCCCCATTCCAAAAGCAAAAACTTTTTTTTGCAGGCATGCTTATGGGCTTCATACCCGTGGTAGCCATACTTGATCCGCTTACACTTCATTCACTTCGCTGTTCGTCGAATCATTGAACTGACCAATCTCGAAGTGGATTGGTCAGTACACTGGCCAGTAGCCAAATGGATGAGGTGGGTAGAGCGGATCAAGTGACCAAAGATGACGTGCACCATAGCCATCGTCCCATTCGACGGTAATTTTTTTCATATGCAAAATTGTACCTTTTTCAGGACCACGGTTTCTGCAGATGGAGCACAACGGCGATATGCGTTTCTCTACTCTTTGCTAGTTGAAAAATACTTACGAAACCCCCGATCAATGCAAATTGATACCTGTTTCAAACAACCTACTTGAAAATACTATAAAAATAAATACCTTTCCCATCATCGCCTCCAAATGTAGTTATGAACTGTGGTCGAGCATCGTCTTCGGACTCGCTTGACGAACTCGATTCGATTATGGCTTTCTTTTGAGCAGCAGCACTTTCAACAAAACTATAAACTGACTAAATAAACAACTAAAACCAGCGCCATGAAATTTCGATTTCCAAGTTGCAACATTAAATGATGCAGTAAGCCGTTTTTACCTCAGCAGCGAAACCGTAGCTTCATCAGGGCAACCTTTGCCCACTATAAGAGCACGCTGCTTTTTCAACAGCAAACGTTCGTGCTTCGAATCGCGACCCTGAAACCATTTTCTCAGCGAATGACTACAAAGATCACGGTTGGTCTGAATAGTTGATGTAAGAAAATGAAAATTGCAAATATTCTCCATAAAAATTCGACATTTTGCTACTGAAATGTCCACAAGCTACTTCACAAGTGTTTAGCTATTTTCTTGGAATTTAATACTCTAACGGCCAATTACAGGGTTGCAAACGGACAGCGAGTGCTGCTTTCTCTCTGTCGATTCGTCGCAGCTCGGCGTTTTCAGCGCGCGTTATAGCATCAGCTCGCAGCAGGCCTGCAAAGCTTCCGCGGCGGATACCATATGCTTCTCCTATGCAATTCACACGTCGCTGTGATTCAGCGTCTGCACCGCGTAGGTCGAGATCAACATCTACAAAAAGACTTATCAACTGTAGTATGTGAGAACAGGTCTGCCGAAACACACCGATATCTTCAGGCTCCTCAATATCAGCATCATCGTCGCTCTCAACTTCTTCACTTTCCTTTTTAACCACTATTGAGTTCTCATAATTGAACCCGATAGACGCTTTGGTCTCCGCAGATTTCCTAAAAATTACAAATTCACTGAAACTTCCGACTTTTCGGGTTAACTTACTTTTTCTTTTCTTGCTCAGTTTTCAACTGGTCATCTTTGGGAATACGCCAAAACTCTTTCTCTGCGATCTTACGGAGATACTCCTGAAAATAATTTACACTAATAATTCACTCAAGTAATTTGGTCAGGATTGATTGCGATGTGCTGATCCATATCGATTTATGATGATGACATTTCATAATCAACAATAAAAGGCATTTTTGAAATGCATGGTGCGGCAAGCGAAGCCAAATATTGAACAACAAGCCGAGGCTCGTTTACAAAAAATCCACTCAACATGAATGCTTACAGCACCTTTTCGGAGATATCACGAAAATCGTTGATTACCAAAATGCGATAACGTTCGAAATCGCACACTATTTCCTGTTTTTCATCCTCACTAAAACAATCTCGATTATTTTACCGACTGAAACATCCTAAACGCTAACCTATCTGGTTCAACCCCCTTCTTCTTCACAGGAGTGATGAAGTCAAGATGAGAGCGTACATCAAATCGATCTATCAAGACAGCGGGATCTCCTTGCCATCTCCTCCTATCAAAGTAATCGAAATGTGTATGAAAACTATCCATCAAATTCGTGACTTACAAAATATTGCCATCTTCCGCAGCTCGCGCGATGCTTTTGTCTGTATGTATTGTACACTTTCGTCCATGGATCTGCATGAACTGATCAGGATCTTTCCTCTGAAGTAAAAAAGGCAATCATAAGCCAAATGAGACGTGTCTGCATAACAGAATATGTAGACAACCGAATAAAACGCTGGCTATTTTTCAATAATGCTCGTTGCTGACAATCAAGAGTGACTAGAACATTCCGTATTACAAATGTACTCACCACACTATCATAAAATCTTCGTCGTTTCTCGGCTCTTTTAGAGCAGTCAACAATTCGCGCTCGCATTAGTTTTTCTTGACGACGTGCTTCATGCCACATCTTCACTGTAACGAGCAGCAGATAGTGAACAAAAACAACAAAATAAACCGAAGCACAATGCAATCAGAGGTAGATTTGAAATAAACAGTGGCAAAGAGACCGATTCAAACAAAATAAAGCTTTTATAAGTTGTCAATATACAAAACCACAGGTCTACAAATGGAGATCGTCAATATCACAATTCAGCCAAAGAATTCTTTAGATCGCCTATCCAATACACCATGTGCTCTAGCGAGCAAAGTTTCTTGTCGGATCAAAGCATCATCGAGGCCTTTCAGTTCCTGGAATATGGAGCTCAGACAAAAACAGCTATAAAATAGGAGACTCACGTCCTCGTAAACCTCTTCAGGATGGTCAAGCTGCCATTGTAA